TTCTTTCAGATTTTCTCTCCGTTCTGGATGGTCAACGAAACCGGCAAGATGTTGACTTACAAGGTTTGATTGAAAATTGAGCAGCTTATTGCAGTATTTGCATCTGTTGAAAAGGAAAATTTTAGTCTGGAATATCCGTGGGTTTCTGGTAAAAAGCCGTTCCAAGTGTTCTGATTTACTTTAATTTGGGCTATTTTTGGTTAGTTTAGGTTAGGTTTTTTATATTTGGTTTATTCAGGTTAGGTTATTTTGTATCAGCTTAGTTTTTAGTGTACGTTAGGTAAGGTTAATTTAGGTTTCTTCTTATTTTGCAACTTTTTCTTAGATGAAAGTTAATGCAAAAAATATTTGGAATGTAATTTTTCGTTTCCCCAAAGAACAAAGGATGAAAGGCCAAGATATTGAAGGTCAAGGGGAATTAAAGTTCAGTGTTACACAATTCATCATTACTCGATGTATTTCATTTCAAATTAATTGTAAAGAAACTGATGCAAAGATTTCGCTTGATTGGCGTGTATTATTTATTTTATTTTTTATATTTTCGAGCAATGATCGTGAACATCTTGACAAAATTTTGGTTTCCTTGTAGATACTTTACTTTGCGTTTGAGATGCGGAGGTTAGCTTTCATCAACGAGAATGCGAGAATGTTATTGTTGTTTCCTTTGAAAACTCCGTGGTGTTCCCATTTCTTTGCACGGTTCTGTCATTTTTTTGACGCAGTATGATGAAGGGATTTGTTCACCGTTTGGCAAATGGACATTGTGTCCCGAATTTTGTTCAAGCGAAAAAGCATGCATGTTGCCAGAAACCGAATCCGACTCGGAAGGGGTACGAAGAAAAAAAAAGGAGCCTCTATTAATTGAGTTCTACTGCTGAGCTCAATTGCTGGGGGATCTTTTGAGTTTGATTATCTACTGATTTTTCTATTGAATTTTATCATCTTTCGTTTAGGGCGACGACCAGTTCAATACCTTCTATCATCCTGGAGATACGCGTAGTCCAGTTTTGTTCGCTCCGTCGAAGCACGTCGAGATGACGAAGAAGCAAGGTTTCAAGTTACGTGTCTCGGGTTCGGAGTTTTCCGATCGGGTGCCTTTGGACAACGTCGGTGATGTTGGACTCGTGTCTTGTACTTCGAAAGATCAAATATTCCAGGTTGGGACATTTTTTTTGTTTTTGTTGAATTTCGAACATTTCTGAATGGCTGTTAAAAGATGTAGAGAATTTTCATGAAAGTCCAGATTAAAAAAAAATCAGACAAATCTTTTCACTTGTAAGATTCTGCCGAGCAAAAATTCGCTTCTCACCAGAGTCAAAATTTGTTTTTGAAAGAATTGGTGCATGCAGATGATCATCTTTCTTTTGTCCAACAGAAAATCATAAACTGTAGCAAGTTTTCACGTTTTTGGTTGTTTATTCTGAAGAATTTGTCGATGAACTTTTTATTATTCGTTGTCTCTCTGAGGAGACGGACAATTTAGTTGCTGTTCTGTTCGTTGCTTTTCAGAAGTATTTTCTCCTTTTTTTTTAATGTCCAGTCATGATTTTAAAAATCCTACGACAAATTACTCAATTCAACAAACATTTTCTGAAGTCCCCAAAAGTTCGTTG